CAAATAATCAAATACCACTGCCATATCACTTGGCAGAAGCAACTTCTAATTTCTAACAGTTTGTTTCTTACCCTTTCCTCTGTATCTTCCACCACAATGTAGGCAAATACGTTATTACTATTTGATAGTAGWAACATCTCTCCTGAGTCAGCTCTTTTYTAAATKACTCTTTTGGAATATTTCATGTTCACATTTTAAGTATGACTCAAATTTTAACTGAACACAGTCAAGCAAATCCAGCATGAAAGACACTCTTTACACTCACTGGGTTATTGCTAATATATTCATTACTTGTGATATTTACTGAGAATTTGCAGGGAACATTTACCAATGGTGAACTTATTTCTCTTTCTGAAAAGTTGAACATGAGGAAAAAATTACTTTTTTACAGCTCCCCTGATATTAGTTATTGGATATACATATTCAAGAGGGGGTAGTTGTTATAGGAATATGAAATATTCCAGGTGTAGAGAGTAAGGTTCCTTTGCTTCAGCAGTATTAACCAAAATAAAAAGATTTYCCTTTACCTGAATTGACTACAAAATTTGTGTAGTACCTGATTTCAAATGCTTTTTAAATGTCTGAAAAAATGTTCTAGTTCCACACCATGTAAGTGTATTATTTGATAAGAGGTAGTGATGCTGCACTGCACACCTGGCCTAGTTCTCTATCCAACCTATACAGCAATAAAAATCAAGAAACGAAACGTATTTTTCTATATCTTTAGCCAGAGTACAAGGTCTAGGCAAACAAAGGGCTCTGTTCCCTGGATTATTCCAAGMTGTTGTGCTTTAACCTAGGCTAAGAAGAAAAAAAATGAGATATATAAAGAATGGTTTTACAGAAGATTTTTTGCATGCAAGTAACCAGATATTTCTCCTTCATGATGCACTTATTTTGTAGATGATAGGGTTGGCCTAAATATGTTTTTTCTCAGTTTCAGGGAATGATATGTAAGAAAGTATAAGAAAAGCTGAACAAGGTGAGGATTAACTGGCAAGGTGGGYRTCTGTGCTGATTTTGGCTGGAATARSTAATTTTCTTCACAGCAACTAGTGTGGGGTTKTGTTTGGGATTTTTKCTGGAAWYAATGCTGATAACACAGGGATGTTTTAGTTATTGCTGGGGAGTGCTCACACAGAGACAAAGCTTTTTCTGTCCATCAYCCCACCCCACCWGTGAGGAGGCTGGGGGTGCACAAGGARCTGGGAGGGGACACAGCCAGGACAGCTGACCCCAACTGACCMAGGGATATCCCASAYCATATGGCTTCATGCTCAGTRTATAAAGCTGGGTGAAGAAGGAGGAAGGAGAAAACATTCASGGTGATGGCATTTGTCTTCCCAAGTCACCATCACATGTGATGGGCCCTGCTCTCCTGCAGATGGCTGAACACCTGCCTGCCCATGGGAAACAGTGAATTAATTCTTTGTTTTGCTCTGTTTACCTGTGCAGCTTTTCCTTTCCATATTACACTGTCTTTATCTCAACCCAAGAGCTTTCTCACTTTTATTCTTCCAATTCTCTCCCTCATCCCACCAGGGGGGAGTGAACAAGTGGCTGTGTAGGGCTGAATGAGTTGCTGGTTGGGGTTTAACCATGACAGTAACATAGGAAAGAATGTTATTTGGAAATGGGAATTATAGGCTGGCAGGGGTTAACATCARAGAAGATTAAGTCTGGAAATTACCTAGCTGAATTAGCTGAATACTTACACAAAGTGTTCAAGGGTCTTGTTAACTGGCATGGAGATGATCAGAGTGGTGATAATTTAGAACATTGGATAAAGAAGCATCAAAGTGTTGTGAGGAAAAAAGTGAGTGATCATCTTTGAGGCTATGAAAATAGACCAAAATTCAGCCATGCAAAAGGCCRTGTACGTAGGAACACCAAAAATTTCTGCTGTGGATAGGAGTTCATTGATGGAAATTCCTGAGCAGGGCACTGACCATAGGGTGACAAAACTATCCACAGGGTATGTCCATGGAAAGGGGATATGTAGTTACAGGCTGCACTAGAAATTATTTCCACTAAAGAATAGGATGTACTTTTTCAAACACAGTCTGGGTGAAAACTCACCTACAATTCTGTGTGTAATTTAGATTATGGGTGAAACCAAGACAGGTTCAAATGCAGACAGATGCAGGGCATGGAAAATAATGAAGCAGTAGAAATAATAGAAAAATAGAAAAGGTTTCCCTACGAATCAAAGAGTGAGAGGGGACATTTTGCTGTTTATGAAAGCCCCAGAATAATCCTGGAGGAAGAGAGCATTGTAAACTAACAAAAACTTGGATTAAACACAAATCTTATAAACAGGTTAARAAATATTTAGTCAGGAAAACAGATGTTTCTGACCATTCAAAGAGTGAAGCTCTGGAAGAACCTTCTAATGAAAATGGAACACTGAGAATGAATGTAGCTGGTAAAAATAGTATGCATTACAGCTTTTAAAAAGATTAGTGTGTGGTAAGGATGTGTTGTACTGTCTGCAATAACTGGGGACTAACAGCATGTAGTTCAGGCTTCTGATTCTCTAGAATAACTTTTCCTGAGCATCATGGGGAGTCTACATACAACTTCCAGTTTTTAGACCTATTCAATGGATCAGCACCTCTTCTCACCAGAAAGAGGAGTTTTAACTGTGGAACCAACATCCKGTAGGCTTGTCAAGCAGTACCTGGGTGCTCTGCACACACTATTTCCATACATTTATTTCCTAAGAGATACTCCAAGTAAGTAACTTTTTTYCTACTATTTCCAGAGTGACAAAAAATGTTTTTTTTTTACCTTTTATTCCAAAATTCATGCTTTATTCTACGTCCATCATTTTCATGTATTGATATAAAAATGACAATACCTTTTTCTGCTCATTTTTATAATTTTAAGAGGCAGCTGTGGCATTATACACGGTACACTAAATAGCTTATTTTCAGCTATTCCTACATCTTGTACACAGCTTACTTATTCTGGTTCTCTGTGAATTCATTGTCAGTCTTGACAAAATTATACTATCTCAAGAAACAAATCCGCTTTCTCTTGCTATTCGGTCTCTTTAGGTGTTCTTTTTTTTGGTTTTTTTTTGTTTTTTTTTTTT